GGGTTCCTCTTCATCTTCCTCTTGTTTCACCAGGAGGCAAAAAAGTCTCTTGCACTTGTGCCCTGCTGTTTAGAGTTCCTCGCAATTAAAACATTGCCCCCTCGCCCTGCGTTCTGCTATCTCCGCCATGGACAAGTGCTTAATAGGGGGTGTAACGACATTGCTCCCTACACTAGATGCTGACCTGGGATTGGTGCTTGTCTGTGGCTTCCGTTCTTGGCTGGCTGCTGAGTATAGAGCCACTCCGAGTGGTTCCGGGGATGCCCATGCTGATGAAGGCCACCCCATACTGACGGTTCCGTAGTTGAGCTGTAGTTTGCGTTCGAAGGTGCGTGCCAGGTTCATGGCTGTGACTAGGTTGGGAGGGTGTTGCATCTCCACGTCCACCCTTAGGGGTTCTGCTAGCCCTGCGGTGAACATATCCACCGGCTGGTCTGGGCGTATTGAAGAGGCTCTAGCGAGAAGGGTCTGAAATTGCCGCTGGTACTCGGCTATGGTCCCAGCCTACTTGAGGTTAATTAATTCTCCCAGGGGGTTGCTCGTTAATGGGGGTCCGAACCGAAGGAGGCAGTATGACTTGAACTGATCCCAACTAAGTCCTGGTTCTTCCTGCTCCACTCAGAAGAACCAAAGTTGCGCTTTGTCTGTCAGATGGAACGCGGCCAGACTGACTTTATCCTTCTCCTCCGTGCGCTGATTACGAAAGAATTGCTCGCAGCGATACAGCCATCCCAGTGGGTCGCCGCTGCCACTTATGAGGGAAACTCCAAACGACTATACTTGGGAATAACTGCGGTTGTTGGGGCAGCGATCTGCTGTTCGCTGGATGCCTCTGCCTAGTCCGGATGGCGACTGTTTGTGTATGCGATTCCCTCATAACTCTTTTCTTTGTTGGAGAGGAATGCTTCTAGCAGGCGTCGCAGCTCCCGGACATCTTCCTTTTCACAAACCTCCATGCTGGTCTCTACAAGCTTGTGTTCCAGTTCGTGGACCCTAAAAGACAACGGCTCCTGTTTCCCCATGACGGTAGGCTCTGATACCAGAATTTTATGGGCCTAGGCATAGGATCTCGTCACGGGGCAGTCCACGGGGAAAACTCCTAGCCTTCCCTTGCCCTTCCCTTTGCGTGCTGACCCTATTGTGGCGAACTAGGGGGTGATTTGTTCAAGAGATCACCCTAACTCTCCTCAGCTCTTTCCTTGATCGAAAATTCCATGCCTTTATTCCAATTCCAAGCTCCTTTAAATAAGAGATTACAAGAGGGTTTCCTTGTTGTATTCGGCTAGGATAATCCATCTCTTATCGAAACTCAAACTCTTACTTCTAATGGTAATTAACTTCCTGGTAACACAACTCCTACTAAGAACAGGGGATAAGTAGATGGGATAAGGGATAAGGGATAAGGGATAAGGTAAGCTGGCGGTGAATTGGCTAGAGTGGCAAGGTAAGTGGGCCCTTGATGAGCTATTGTATGGGCCCCCCCTTTCAGTGCTACTGCTCACTGCTGCTGTCGGCCGCAGTGGTTAGGCTTGCCTACGAGTGTGTCTATTGCTTCTATGTCCGCAACACACTTCACATATGGGGCGTCTTTGATTGCCATCAGGATTTCGGCCTGCTTTGCGTTCAATGGGGTGTAGTCAGTTCGGTCCTCTACTGAAGCTCGGAACGACTGACCCGGCTTTGCCCCCCGAGCTGCATCTTATTTCTTTCGGCTGTCCCCTTGGCTGAAAGGCTCTCCTTCCCTTTTCCTCTTCTCGGGCACGCCCTCGCCCTTCTGGTTGATCTCTTCCTCCGTGGCTATAAACCTGTCCGCGAGCCTAAGAAATTCAGTTATGGTCACCGGTTGGTTGATGACCATGTGCCATTTGAACTCTTTATGCGTCATGCCTTTCTTGGCTACTACGAGGCGCACGACGGGGTCTAGGCGCAGTATCTGCATGCACGCATCGTTGAACCACTTGATATAGTTTCGGATGGATTCTCCCTCTCTCTGCACTATGTTGATAAGGCTTTCTTCAGTCTGCGGGCACCGCTTGCTGGTAACAAAGTGGGACGTGAAGGCCTAGGCGAACTACGCCCAACTTCTTATTGATCCGGGCACCAGGTTCCGGTACCATGTGCGGGCTACTCCTCTGAATGTGGTGGAGAAGGCCACGCACATGCACGACTCACTGGCTCTCACCAGGTGCATCTGCAACTGGAAGGCATCTATGTGATCATTTGGGTCGAACGACCCGTCGTACTTGTCAAGGGGGGGAGTTTAAAATCTTTAGGCATTGGGACTACCAGGAGCTTGGGAGATAGGGGGGATTGAACTGAAAGGAGGGGAGCCTTGACTTCGCCCGAGCTTACCTCTTCTTTGCCTCTGAGCTCGGGTAGGTCGTGGGTGGTAGATCGGCGAGCTCGGCGGCGGCGTCTCTGCTTCTTGGCGGGCTCGGCGTTGGTGCTACTCACCTCTGTGCT